GAGGGACAAGTCAATACATGCGTGGGTGCTGGGCTTGTGCTGTAGTCAGCATTGTCCCCTTACCCTCCTCTGAACCCAAGGGCAACCTTATGCTTTGTGGAACTTACGGCCCGCCTTCGGTCCTAGTTATCCATCTAATAAGGATGACCATATAGCCCACTCTGCACCAAGATGGTACTGTGTGATTTGACTTCATCACCCCATTTAAGCCCCACAGCCACCTGCTCAGGTGAGTGTCATCGTTGCCTTTCATAGACGAGTTACCTGAGGCTCAGAGACCTCCCTCATTTCTCAAGTAGCCCCACCAGCACACTTTCCTTTGCCATTCTGTGGCGTTCTTATCTTCATAGCATGAATCACTCAGAAATGATCTTGCTTCTGTTTACGTGTTTATTGTGTCCCCCACCCCCACTCCACTGAAGTGTCAGCCGCATGAAGGCAGGACCTTGTCTGCCTCATTCACTGCTCAGGGGCTAGAACAGGGCTTGGAATGCAGAAGGGGACTCTATAATTGTTTGTCGACTGACTGACTGACTGACTGATATTTGTTGAGCCAGAATTCTTTCTCTCTTTTCTCACTTCTTCTGATAGAGCCCTCTCCCTGTAGTATTTGAGCAATGTTCTGGAGACAGAAGCACCCTCCTCCCAGAGTTCTGGGCACTCTTCAGTCAGGCACTGAGTGGTGCTGGGGGAAGAAGGGGAGGTCCCCCTGCCCTCGAGGACCTCATCATTCTGCACAGCATTTTCAAATTGCAGGTCACAGGTAAAATCAGTTTTGTGCATTGCAAACTGCAAAAAAAAAAAAAAAAAAAGACACAGGATGGGATAGATTAGAAAGTATTAGAACGCATCACAGACAGTAAGGCTAAGCATTTCTTGTGAAACACACACATATTCATGTCTCTGTGTAGCTGGTAGCCCCAGAACAAAATGTATTTCTTACTTTCAGTCACTGTCAAAAAAGTTTGAACCTAGTGTGTGAATTTGGGAGGTGGGAGATGTCGTCTTTGGACCTAGACCCAAAGGAAGGTACAACCAATGAAGTTAATAATCCTGCTGATAATTATGATGCCAATTATTGAACATGTATTCTGTGCTGGGCAAGGGTGCTCAGGTCCCAGGGCTCTGCACAGAGGTGAGGGGGAAGGAGTCCAGAGTAGGCAGAGATCCTGCAAGCAGGGAAGAGTGCCTGGAGGAGGTGGAACCTGAACTTAGCCTTGGAGAACCCCTCTGTCCTGGCAGGTGCAGAGCTGGGTCAGAGTGAGACCTCAGGGGCAATAAAAGTAACAACAACAGTAGCTGCTGTCAGTGAGCTCTGGCTGAGTGCCAGGCGTCCCTTTAATCCTCCAGACATTCCTGGGGGGCAGGAGCTGCTCTTCGCATCATTTTACAAATGAGAGAAATGAGAGTCAGAGAAGTGTGTTACTCTTAGATGGGGGTCACATGGCGGTAAAGATGCTGAGGCTAGAGCCAGGGCAGGTCCACCCTACTTGAAGCCCGTGTCTTTAAGCCCTGGACTGCACACAGAAGGGGCCTGAATAAACGAGGCATGCTGGATCCTGGAGATGGGGCAGTGGGCCTGGAAGGGCGGACAGCGACAGCAGGACCCTGAGGCAGCCAGGGCAGATGGGGACGGGTCTGTGTTGGGACTCCAGCAGCAGCCATGTGATACTTGAGGCTCAGAGACAGCCTGGCTCAGGGGGAGCTGCAGGCTCCAGGACACCTGCCCTGGAGGGCCCATGGGGATCCTGGTTCTTGGCAATAACATGGCCGCAGGAGCAAGGCCTGGCCGGCTGCCAGCCCTGACGTTGTCCATTCCTCGGGCCCACTGGCCCCCAGGCCGTGGCGGGCTCAGAGGGGAGCGAGGAGCAGAGAAGAGCGGTAGGGCCTGTTTCTCGTCTTTTGTTGAGTCTCATCTTTGCTGGTTTGAACCCAGCTCCTCTGCCTTTCGGCGAGTCATTTGTGCCTGTCAGGAAATAATTCTTGGCTTGAGTGTTCCCAGGAGGGAATTGGAGGTTTCCTCAGCTTATGTTTTCTGCACAGGGACTGAACTTGAGGGTTCTCTCGCAAGAGCACCAGCAGCTTGCTTGCTCGGGTGGAGGGAGCTGTGGATGGCCACAGGAGAGTCTCCAGGAACCGTGAGAATGGGGTTATTCGCTATTCTTTGCAGCAGCCGCTGGCCTGGTTTTGAACTATGGTGGATTGGTTTGTGTGTGTGCTACACATACTCACATCTACATACGTGCTCACTTGTATATCCACACTTACACCCGTTGGACACTTGCACAAACATGTACACCCTTATTCACACCTCTGCAAACGTGAGCTCACACATAAATGACCAAGCACATATGTACGCACACATGAGCATACGTTTGTACAGGACCACCCACGAGGCCCTGGCATTCTTTAGATGATAAGGTGGAATCTTGGGCGCTTGTGCGTGTGGGATGTGGGGTGGGAGTAGTGCTGGTGGGCATGCTGGCTGAGTGGGGGAGGTCCTGTTCTGGGACCTGATGGTCTCTCTCTTTGGGCTTCTGCTCGGAGCTTCCAGATCTCTCAGGGAGCTCCTGCAGCAGTCTGGGCTGAGAGAGTTGGCCTGACTGATTCTTCCCTCCTGCCAGGTCTGGGGAGAGAGGGCACAGTGCCTTCTCTTGGCTATACCTTGGGCTGCTCCGTGTCCCTTCCTTCTTGTCTTCCTCAATATCCAGCCCCTTCCCTCTCCCAGGCAAAGGTGGGACAAATCTGATCCAGAAGGCTTTGTGTGGTTGAGGGGACCCCCCAGCCCCATGGCCGGCAGCCAGCCAGGGATGCAGGACTTGCTGCTCCAAGCAGGAACTTGGTAGAACCTCGGGGGCTGGGGTGGGCTGGTGAGTCTGGGCACTGTGGTCTGGATGCAGTCTGTGGCCTGTCCCTTAGACACCTCCAAGCCCCCAGCATTCTACTTCTGGGGCTGACCAGCAGAGCCCTGAGGCTGTCTGTTGGAGCCAGGAGGGCTGTGACTACTGGCTCTCCTGAGGACATCTCTGCTCTGGGCTTTTCTGCTAGATTCCACAAGAACACCTACTGTGGGCACAGTGAATAGGAATGACCGCAGCATCTGCTAGACAGTGAGGGAGGGGGAATAGCGTGTGTGTATATGTGTGAATGTGCATGCATGTTTGTGTTTGTGTGTGTATATGTGTATGTACATGCTAGCGCACAAGCCTGCCTTAGTCCTGGCTGAAAGGGGGCATTATCCTGGACCGCAGCATCCTCAGGATTGGGGGGCATCAGGTGTGGAATCTGACAGGGTAGGGTGGGTTATGGGGTCGTGGCAAGCAGAGGAAGGAACAGAATGGCGCCCAAGGATGTGCCGCACACTCCACCCGGGCATCCCCTGCCCCAGCTCCCTGGCTCCTCAACACTTCTTTGAAGGCGGACAGGCCGTCTTACGGATGAGGAACTTGGGGATCAGAGAGTTATGTCACTTGTCCCAGACCACACAGCCAGTAAACTGTGAGCCAATTTGAGCTTAGCTCTGCTGGATGCTGAAGGTCAGGTCTGCTTCCCAGGGCCACTCCTGGACTTTCTCTGCTCTCCTCCTCCTCATATACTCCTGGTGGGGCAGGAGGAGGCCTGGAGCTCAGGGCGTCCTCTTCCTTTGGCCTCAGTTTCCTCATCCACTAGAATAGGGATAATATAAGTGTTTTTCCCATGAAATCATCCAGGTAAAGCACAGAGACCTAGGTGCTGGGGGCTGGGTAAGAGCAGCACGGATGACAGTCATTCCTCTTGTCTTTATTTATTCTTAGTGCTCACACTGTGGGGTGGGGGCTTTCAGAGCCTGCATGCCCCTCTCCCAGCCCAGCGCCCTCTGGTGCCACCTTGGACAGAGGTGAGGCCTGCTCTGTCTTCATCCTGGGGGTACCGGGCTCCACAGACTCCCGCTCCAGCTCTGACTAGGGGCGAGGCAAGCAGTGACAGGTGAGGAAAAAGGATTTCTGAGTGTGGAGGGGAGGGGGGGGAAGTGACTCACCGACCACAATAAGGCCCGTCCCGGGAGAGGAAGCAGTGGTGAGAGAGTGAACGCACGTGGGTGCCCGTGGGGGCGTGCGAGCCGAGGACAGATGTGGGCTGCAGGGGCGTCCGCCGGGGCCTGGCTGGACTGCCGCCAAGTGCCAGCCCCGCGCTGCGCCGGAGGCCCGGGGAGGCCCCTCTGGCGCGCGGGGATGGTGCGTGTCACCGCCGGGAGCCATGGGATGGGGGCAGAGGGACCTCTCCCCTCCCGAAGTTTCTGCCACGCTCTTTCCTTTTCGCCTCTGGGGGCTGAGGGGCGCGTTTCCCTGGGCGTCCAGAGCTTGGGAGAAGCCCACTATTGAGCTGACAGCCTACTCTTTAAAGGCTCGCCCGTTGACACCTGGGGTGGCTGAGGCCCAGAGAGGACCATCGCCTGGCTCAGGTTGCATAGCACAGTGAGGCTTTTTCCCGGTGTCCGGTTGCTTGGCTCGGCCTGGCTTTGAAAAGCAGAGAGGGGCGAGGAAGCCCAGGTCCGCCGATCTCCCGGCGAGCTGGAGTCTGGGAGGGGGTGTGGCGCCTAGAGCATTTGCTTCTTTCTCCAGCCAGAGGCTAGATGTAGGGTTTGGGCATCTTCCAGAACGAGCTGAGCTAATGACAAGGGAAGAGGAACTGGCTTTCCAGACAGTCTCCCCCGCCCCAAACTTTTCCTCCCGGCGGAGGGTGGGCCGGCGGAGGGAGGCAGCGGGGCCGGGGAGGGTGGGGCCAGCCGTCCCCCCGTGCCCCGGAGCCGCAGCTCTGGGATGCCAGTCGGGCCGCGGCTTGGGTGAGTGTGTCTTTAAATCCGAGCCCCCCGCCCCCTCGGCGGCTGGGGCCGGGGCTCGGGCTGGCGGGGCGGTGGCGGCCGCGGTGATTGGCGGCTCGGCCGGGTCCGCCCCTCGGCGAGGGGGACGCGGGGCGCCGGGAGCCGCGCGGCGCGTTTGGGCTTGGGCGCGCGGTTCCCATCGCAGGCGAGCGCGGACTCCTTCTCTCGTGGCCTCGCCTCGTCGCGCCCGGCCTGCCCGCCTCCGGAGCCGCCTCTGCCCACGGATGGGCTGGGGAAGTTGGGAGGAGCGAGCCGGAGCCCGCGCCGGGCGCGCCCCGCCGCTGCCTGACTCGGCGCCCGCAGTTCGGGCGCAGCGCGCCGGCCGCAGGAGCGCGGATGCCCCCCGGAGCCGCGGGCTGGCAGGTACCGACGCGTCGGGACCTGGGGCTGGCGAGGGGAGGGCAGATCCGGAGTCCTCTGGGCACTCCCAGCCCGAGGCTGCTCCGACCACCCACTCCACCTCCCCCGGAGCTCACGCCTCCCTGGGTTCCCCGGAGAGGAGGGGTCCTGGGTCTCCACCCAAACCCGCACGGGGTTGGTGCCTGGGAGAGAAGCGGGAGCTCACATATTGAGCAGCGAGCAGTTATGCAGTCGTACTGTATGTCGGGCTCTGGGCTGCCCCCTCCCCCGAGGTTTCCCTCGGACTGTGGCGGACGTGGGCCGGCGACACCTCCACCCTTCATGGCTAGGCCTGGGGGCATGGCCCAGGAGTCAGGCTTCCTGCAAAGTTAGGGGGAGGGAAGACATCTTATGATCCACGCGTGGGGTCCCCGGGCTTATCTTTAGGGAGCTTGACGCCCATGGAACCGGGAAGAGTCCAGAGGTCCCAGTGGGTGCAAGCTTTGATTCTGGGCCCCATCTGGCCATCCGTCTGTGGACCTGGGTCTCTCAGGAGAGCCCCCTTTTTATCTTCAGAGGTTTTTCCTGAAGGGGCAGTGAACTGTCAGAAAGCAGAGTGTGGTGTGTGGGAGACCTGCTGGCCCAGACTCAAAGGTGGCCAGGAGGATTGGAACATGTTCTTATCTCTTGGGGAGTCAGAGATGGAAGAAAAGCTTCCTGGCTTTAGGAAGCTCCTGGGCTTCTCTATTCTCCCAACCAGAGGTCCAGGCACCAACTCCTCAGCTTCTGTGGAGAGTCAACCTGCATCCAGTGACCGAGCACCCCTTAAATGCTGGGCTTTGTCGGGGGAGGGTGGGAGGAGTTGGAGAGCTCTGCCCTTAGGTGGCTCAGCCCCATAGGGGAAGACAAGACATAAACACAGCGAAAGGTCACTGATATGGGGTTTCCATACCAGTCTGGATTAGTAATAATAGTGGAAATGCCAAGAGGCTACAACAATAATTGCTAAGTGAGTGACAGAGGCTGGGGGATCTGGGATCCAGCTCTCACGCAACTATGCAAATATGTTAAAATGTTCCAGCTCCATACCCATCGTTCCTTATTACCCTGCTGGTAATGAGAACCCATCACCACCTCCCTGGACAAGGAGCAGCAATCAGGAGATTGTCCTGCATGTATGTGCCCCCAGCCCCACTCCCAGCTGGTCTTTTCCTGCCGGTAGTTTTCTGAAGAAACCCATTTGGTTTCTGGGATCAGGCTGAGCACAGGACTCTCCCAGCTGCCCTGGAGCTCCTAAGGTTTGGGGTCTAGATTCAGCCTTATAGGAGGTCCAGAGGCCAGCGGGAAGGAAGTCCCCACTTCCTTTCTGAAGGCAGGCAGCTGGGGATGAGGCTGGGAGGCTGGAGGCCCTGAGCCAGACACTGTTTCCTGTGAGTGCAAACAGGTGGCCGCTGGCCACAGGGTGTTGAGTTGGGTTGTTGGAGGTGGGCAGCTGGGCGGGGCTGGCTTGAGGTGGGTGAGTGGTACTTCACCTCTGAGGTTCTGCTGTGTCTGGGGCTCTGCCCCCTCCCCCATCATCTCTGGCAGGTTTCTGTTTCTCTAGAACACTGTGGGGGTGGTACTGTGCTTGTGCCTATGGCCTTGGGCGCTGCTCTGGGAGTGGGAGTTGCTCAGCTCACCCCACAGCCCTTGGCCAGCCCTGTGAGCACTTGGGTGGATACACCCCCCTGCCTCCAAACAGGTGGTCCACACAGGGTCACCCGGGCGCGGGTGGGGGATGCTGGTGGGGGCCGAGATGTGCGTGCTTAAGTTTACGGCTGCGTGGGGCAGAGGCAGAGAGGAACTGGATACAGACGTGCGTGAAGACAGACACAGGAGGACAAGCAATCCAGGGGCGTAGACATGTGCAGGGGGCAGACAATGTGAACTCATCAACATGGACCACACACGGGCCACAGCCACTATATAGACAGACCTATACCGTCATGGGGATTTGAACCTATCCACACGGCAGGCAGACTTGTCAGGGGGCAGACATATGGGCAGACCCACGGGAGCACAGACAGGGATGTGAGCTGGCATTCATGGACACAAGACATGGAACCACACAGAAGAAGCTTCGGCGCCTGGGCAGACATGGAGTTGGCTGTGGGCTCCCCAGGGACACAGACACGTGTACCTGCCGAGTCACCCAGCAGCAGAGGCAGGACACGGACAGAGGTGGAACCGAGATGCAGTCCAAGGCACGTGCTCCTGGGCGTCCCCGTGACCCCGTGTGGCAGCAGTGCCCCGAATTTGTTCCGTTTGGGGTGGTGGTGGTGCAGGCACTCTGTGGTGTGGCTTCATTTCTAGACCCCACTTTGGGGTTTGAAGACCCCAAAGGGCTCAGTATCCTTTGTTTTACTCTGAGAGTCATTTGACCTCCCCATTCCCTAAGTTACAGGGCTGCGTGCATGCCTTAGGCCCCAGCAGGGGCTCCTTGAACCTTCCAGTCTCTTCTTGTCTGGGTCTCCAGAGCTTCCTGCAGTGAGACCTCATGGCCAGGGCGGGGGAGGAACCTGGCTGGGGACTCTCTTCCAGAGCCCAGGCCTGAGGGTCTCTGGCAGGGAAGCAGCAGTCCCTAGGGGAGAGAAAGAGTGGATATGCAGTTGGGTCTTTGATGAGACCATTGTCCTCTGTGTGGACTGCCCCTCCTGCAAACCTGGGCTTGCACAGGGGAGGGGGTCCCCCACCTTCTGGTTACAGTCACCTCTCTTCTGCCCAACTTGGAGATTGGGAGTCAGCCCAGACTCAGATACAGTTTGACACTCACTCACTGTGTGACCCTGGGCAAGTTACTTAATATTTTAACTAACTCAGCTTTAAGATTAAACTCCTCATCTTAAAAATAGGGCCAGTAACCCCTAGCCCTTGGGGTGTTGTGGGGGTTAAATGGGAGATAGTCAGTGGAAAGCATGTGGCACTCAGTCAGTGAGCTTTGATTAGGAGCTTTCCCCAGTGGCCAGGACTCTCCAGAGCTGATTCAGCAGCCAGGGGCCTGGCCCTGGGCAGGCTAGGCAGGCAGCCACTTCTCATTCTGAAAGCTGGGGGGCTTTGTCCTCACCCCCTGCCCACCGGCCACTCCTTAGCCCTGTGGGACCTCCTCATGCAGGGTCAGGAAATGGCAGGCAGGGCATATGGAAGCTTGGTCCTGCCGCCTGCTGGGCCTCTGGGAGGGGAGCCAGTGGTTTGCTAAGAATAGCCCCAAATCATGGCTCTGCCTCCCACTGGGCAGCTGTGTGCCTCCCTGGTCCCAGCCAAGGTGCTTGCAGATGGGCCTTTTATGTTTCCTGTAACTGGCACTCGGCACGGGGATGGGCCTGGGAGCAGTAGGCTGGGTCTGGGAGGAGGCCCTCCTGCTCTTCCTAGGTCTTTGGGTGGTACCTGGGGAAAGAGAAGTCCCAGGAAGCACTGGCCTTTACAATCTCTGCGTTCCTCTTCCACTCAGATCTTGTCCTGACAACTGCCCCCTTGACCATCTTCCTACCCCCTAATGGACCTCTGGTGATTAAGAAAACTGGCTCCAGAACTAGACCACTAGAGTCTGAATTTTGGCTCCTTCCTTCACTAGCTGTGTGTCCCCAGGCAACTCACTTAACCTCTCTGTGCCTGATTGTCTTGTGTAACAGGGTTAATGACAGTAACTCCCTTATAAGATTGCCACCAGGATGGAAGGAGGTGGTGCACGGAGAACCTGGGGGGAAGTGTGTGGCTCATAGTAAGTGCTCTGTAAACATTAGGTGCTGCTATTTACCATGATTACTATTCTCTCAGCAGAGGGAGAGACCTGTGAGGCCAGGGTGCACACACCCGGAGGCCAGGGTGTGTGCACAGTGCCTCCTGGTGGGAAGGCACCAGGATGCTTCTTATTCAGGTCCCTGGCCCTTCCTGGCCCCCGGGTCAGTATGAGATGCAAGGGACTGAAGGTGAGTGAGACCCAGCCCCTGCCGGGTGAGAGAGGCTCGTGTGTGTATGTTACACCATACCCCGTGGGGACCTTCCCGGGTCTGTGTAGCTATGGTTGGAGCTGGAGAGAGGGAAGGGCTTGCCTGGGGATGGGGTGATGCTTCAGATGGGCTTTGAAGGATGGCTAAGAGTTTGCAAGCATGAGGGAAGGCTTCCCAAGCAGAAAGAGCAGTCCATGCAGAGGTGTGACAGCTTGGTGTGTTCAGGGAATGTGGGCAGACCCACGGATCTGGGGAGAGGACCCACCCTCAGCACTCCTGGCCTGTCAGGAAAGAACTTGTGTACTGGGACCTTCTGTCCCTCCCACCCTGGGCTCTGGGGCAGCCCAGGTTCCCCTGTTAGGACCCGGAAGCTGGAGTCCCATCAGAATTCTGGGCCTTCTCTTTCCTTTTAGGAATCACATTTGCTGTCCCCCCATTCTCCAGAGACCCCTGCCCCCCACCCTCTTATAAATGCCTGCCAGCCCTCCCTGGGCTTATTTTTGAGCTGGGGCTCCAGACTGCTCCCACCCCAGTATCAACATGCCTGTTTTTGCTCTTAGCTAAGATGCCCATGGGTTAATAGGTCCCCCCCTGGGGAACGAACGGAAGCCTTTGTAACCTTTCTTTCTAACACTAGCATTCCTAGACCTTGGAAGATGTTTTATATAGTTCCTGTAACTGACATGTGGCCTGGCTTTAGCTCTGAGGGGTGCCCCTACTTGGGCCGGGGCTGGGTACTCTGATGAGAGGGACGTGGGGCATCTGGGGTTACCTCCATGCCCATGGCAGGCAGCAGGGAGCATCTGGGAACAGGGTGTGTTGCTGCTGATCCTGCGGGCTCCCAGGGCGCTAGGACTTTCGGAAATTCCAGGAGGCGGGAGGGTGTGGTGCTGGGAGGGCTGTGGGTCCACGGCCGGGCTTCCCACCCTTGCCCATGAGAAACAACCCCACTGCCAAGAGGCTGGGTTGAGAGAGGTGGGTGAGAGGTGGGAGGGGAAGGCGGTGGGTGCCCTCAGATGACCTTGGACCTTGCCAGCC